CTTGGCAGTTCCTTTAAGAAATACTCTGCCAACGGCTCCTAATTCTTCAAAATGCGTCTCAAAGCTGGAAGCAGCGTCAGCCATCTGCACTGCACATGCCTGATGAATAACTGCTTATCAAAACCCAGTTCCTCTTCTACATTCCGAAAGTCTTCTCTCTTACATGGCGAGTATTTGAAGAAGTAGAACAGATCAATGGCTAGTTGTTCTGATTCCTGGCCATAAACCTTGAGACCTTCTCTGAAGGAGTTGTGGACCACATGCATGTTACAGGGAATGAATGGTAATAATCCTGGAAACCTGTGTGTCTTAACAACTTCATTAACCTTACTCCAGATTGTCTTATTGACATTTGGTCCATCCGAACCAAGATTCAACAACTTTCCCAAGGGTAGCTGATAGCCTGTTTCCTGCAGTGTATCGATTACACGTTGAATAGCAATCGCACGCACCCCGGTACAAACGGCCACCCGCGTGTGATTACCCGCGTTAGAAATTCAAGTTCATGTTGATCTGGCATTGTGCTCTCTTTGTCTCACTCTCCTTTTTGGGTTGCACCCACTGCACTTCCAATTCTCCTTTCTCTTCTTCAAGAAGTTCTTGCTTCCTTGTATTTCCGCACAGATGTAATGGAACCAGCTCTCGCAATTGTCACAACAGATACTGTTTTCTTCAGTTTCAACAGGGTATGCTTGGCACACTTCACCACACATACCACATGAGGAGTCAGTGTTTGGAGTGGGCTCACTACTTTCTATTGCGACCAACATGCTCTCCATTGGCTTTTTCACAGCTCTATCGATTACGCCTTTTTCGATATCCCCTGTGACAAGTTCTGGTACTATTCCTTTTCTGAAGAATAGTTCTAACTTGGGGCGGACAGCTGCATTATTATTCAAAACTAATCCAATACGTTCAACAAACAAGCTATCAGATGCGCTGACTGTTCTGACAACAAAGTCACACCAATGAAATTCGCTTGTCCACAACTGCATTTGCACCTGGGCATAATAACCATGCGATCTCTTCAGTTGGGTTAGTCCATTTTCGTTGCTAAGAAAACTACCCTTCTGGCACGCAAGATCCTTTATAGGCAGTGCCTGTGGGTGTATGGATTCTTTAGTTTTAGGAGACCCCTTTCACACTGGTTACATGAAACAAGCCATCTGGGGATGCAGCTACATATGGACATTGAACATTTACCCACAGTCCTGTCTCCTCACAAGACACACCAGTATGCTTAGGATGTAACCGGTGATGGGCAATGTACTGCTTTCGTGCTATGTTCTCGTTGGTTATCCCCCATGTAAGGGCCAGTGACTTTGGGTTACCATAATGGCCCATTACCCGCGCAATGTGCGATTGTCCAGATACATTTTCATCTCGAACACTTCCTATGCAGTCACCTGCAACACTAGCCGTTATCCTCCCCTTTCGATGGTCTGCCCACAGTGACGAAGATGCTTGCCTTGAAGTCGCTTCGGCTAATACCTCTTGCTAGTGTTTGTTTGCTTGTAGCAGCGTTATAATTCCTTCTGCCATTACACCTTCCTTTGACTCTGATAGAGTCTTACGTGCTTCAATCACAGTTGGAACAGGTATACACGTTTCCACAGTTTCCTGTGTAGCACATGTGGACGCAATTTACATTTGATCGAATAATTTCACCAAGTCTTGTATACGCCTCTGACGAATTTATTATTATCGTGTACAAACGATGACACTGGAGAGGGTTCACTGAAAAATACAAAATTGAACCCACACATAAGTAAATGCAAAATAAAATACAACAATATCCATGACAATCAACAGGCATGTCGAATCACTCGGAGGCATGAATAGGCCTAACGAAAGTTCACCAGACACAAAGGATTTAAACAATGTATGTGAGACACAGTGAAATATCTCAACTTGTCAAGATTAAACGTTCACACAGAACTGAATAAGTCACCACCATAATATGGTAGTTGTGAGAAGATAAACAGAGAATGTCCAATAATCTACCCCAGCGCCACCTGGCAATAGAAATAGATATATACGAGAACCTAAAGTCGGTCACTTAACTGACGACACTCAATGTCGGACAACTGTCCGGCCGCGATTTTACTAGTAAGAGCAGCAGTAGGCCTAAAATTCCCTAATGCACAATATGCTTATTACAATACGCTCACTTTAAAGCAGACAATGCCATTGAACCAATAAAATTGACGAAGTGCACAACACAGGCACCCAAGCCATACACTACAGTGTATGCATACAGTAGAAACATGGCCGCAGCCACGAGATACAGCCGGCAGGGCTGGTACAGGAAAGAAACCCTTGAAACTTTAAATCTAACTGGCAAACTAGTTTAAACAACTACTTACAGAAACTTGGAGCGTTATGAAACACTGTGACTAAATTGCTCCACGCAAATCTGATGTATTTGTCGATAAATTGACGACTAGTGGCGAGTCCAAATATGCCGCATCGCTGCACACGACATCCTTTGTCTCCCTCTGCCCCCTGGTGTTTGGCGGGAAGTAATAAGCGCGAGCACGGACCCAAATATGGAACATGCAAAAACAGCGCCAGGCTAAACTAATCTGCCACAACAGCACATACTGTGACGTCTGTCTCTTGGTGGTTAGGGTCCATTTCACGCTTTGTATGCACCAAAAGTCCACAATTCCCATTCGTAATTGATTGAAGCCAATCCAACTTGAAAGCTGAAATTGGCTTGGCAACGCGATGTGCCAGTATACGTTGGTCAAATTCCGAGCGATTGTAGCAAGGGCGTGTCGTGTGCCTCCCAGGTTCTCGGGTCGGCTTATGGGAGATAGGGTTTCCCTTAAGGGTAGCTGACTGGTAGCGTCGATGAATAACAAGAACACAGAATTGTGAAATTCACTCTACGTGCGTGTATTAGATTAGACTATAAACACTAACAAAATATCTACTCGCGTGCAATATGGTATAGCTGTACGCGCCGCGTGCCACGCCCGATCCGCATACGAGGTTATCGAGAGAGTGGCGACTCGTATGTCGGCTCTCCGCGCGCGTATCGCGTATAACGTAAAAGATTACCTTCGTATGCAGATCGTTCCGAAATCACTCGGCGAGGTAAGGTTCTGGAGAATAGGCTCAGGAAAGGCACAGATACCAGATATCGGAAAACGTAGGAGGCAGCGAAAAGATGACCTACGTGGTAGAAGAAAAGAGACCCGAGTGTGTCGCTAGCTTGTCGCGCGTCCCATTCACGACGGCGGCCATAAAATCCTAGCCCCGGTAGAGAGCCATAAAGGCACGCTCTACCCCGCAAATTGCTGTTTTTATGATCGCCGAACATCGAGCAATTTGCAGAAAGCAAGATTGTTTGTAAATCGGCTTGTTTTGGAAATGGCGAAGCGTCTATACTACACGATAGGTTCTTGTGCTTTCGGTGCCCTGCTGCGATACATCCTCACGAACACCTACAATCTTAATATCCTTTACAAACTGGGGTGGATGAAGCGCTTGCCCCTTCTTCGGTACTGTCCCCCACACTTGTTTTTGTGACGTAGCTGATGCAGTTCGGCTTTCCTCCACCGCTTCCACAACAGCAAAAAGGAGAGCTGCTATATGCTTACATGTAGGCTGGATTCTGCAAAGCAAAGGGAAGAACATCTGTAAGTTAAAGGTGCACTGTGAGATCCCAGCCTCGTTCCCATGGTTTATCTGGTCGAACACGAGATTTTGGTATGACTAGAGACCTATACTTTTGATGAAATAAAAAAGGGGTTGCAAAAATGTTTTTGTTTTTCTACCAAAACTACAAATCTTATTAAAGTGAAACTTTGAAGGTGATGATTTTTTTTATAACAATGTTTAATTCAAAGACAAAAATTTACATTATAATATCTCCAGGAAATTTCACAGTGGACCATTAAAAAGCAAAAAGGAGAACAATGATTAATTTGTCAAACCCTGGTATAAACATGGCCTTGTTTTTTTTCTTCTTCACATTTTTATTTTGTTGTTGTTAATGCGAGCTCGTCATGATTAGAAACGAAGGTAAATTGAGAGTTGATAGAATGTACATTAGTTCCACAGTTACGAAAACAAAAAATTACCCGATGATACAAGAACATTCAGCAGTACAGACTTGGCCTGATTCCTTCTGAATAACAACCCAGGTGTGATAAGCAGGTTCTGTTGTTTTCTGCTGTGGAATAACCTATAGGAAAAATAAGTAAATCAGCATCTGCAATGTAAGCAAATTAGTATGTGCCTAAAATAAGTACATGCCATACTTGCTAAATTTAATGATTGCTACAGCCTATTAGCACCCCTTCGAGAGATACTTATTTACTTATGACAGACAATTGGTACTAACCTTTCCTCGTACAAAGCAGTAGCTCAAGTTTGCACTAATGCCATGGTATTGGAGAGCCCTGACGTGTCCCGACATGAAGAGTCCTTTACCAAGAGCAAGTGTCATCTTTCCCTCCGTCTTCTCTAAGCCTATCCTCCGATTGCCTAAATTGCACATAAATAGAAAAAAACATTTTGTCAAGCAGTCAGACCCCAACCTGATTAATGGCCCCAAAGCCGTGCCTATAGTTTACTATTTATCATAACCTAGATATATTAATTTAGGTTTATTTCCGGTTGGCCTACTCCCATATTTCACCTACAGCAAAATTCCCAGTTGGCCTACACCCATTTCCCTCCCCTACTCCCAATTCGTCTACGCTCAAAATCTACCCCATTCCCATTTCTTCTACGATCGGTTTGTTCACTAAATAATCATTTATAAATAATAAAAAAAGGTTTTGATTGGCATACATAGACTACAAGAACCAGAAGAAAAACACAAGCTCAAATAGAGAACACAACTTACAAATAAAGAGTACAAATAAGGACGAAATGGGAATATTTCCGATTCTGTGAGTAGACGAAATGGGAGTAGTCCTACTGGGATGTGACCTTAATTTAAACGCAGTGGCTATTTGAACCGATCGGTAAAAATAATTCTGGAATTTATTCTTACCCACTTCCGGTAGACATTCGCAGTGGTTTGTTTTAAGCACTTGTTGTTTAGGCCATGGGAATTGAGGTATGAGTTTCCCGTCCGAGATATTTTGAAAAGTGAGGAGGCTTTTTTCATTTTTCATTTTTCATTATTCATTTAATATTTGTAGTTAACCCGTTGTTCATGCGACATCCGCATACATGTGTGTAATAATTGGGCTTGCAAAACTTGGCTCGGAGAAAGAAACAGAACAAAACATCATGTACAATGTAAAAATACTTGTATTTTATGGCCTATTTTATATCTGGACCATATTTTAATAAAGTACATAGTAGTATACAAATGAAATTGTAGACATTGTACAATGTTGTACAGACAACAACCTATCTAGACCACCATGACCAATTCCAATGATGGGGTCGGGGCCAATTTATGGTCTTCCTATCTACAGTCGCTTCCTAATAGGATCCTCATTGCATTCTTCACACTGTGGGTAGAAGTCAATGTCATCATGGTCTTGGACATATTCCCCACAATGGATGCAAATCGCCTCGTATTCATCGCAAGCGAAGTACAACTTCTCTATGTGGTCACAGCAATCGTGGTCCTTCACAAAAACTTGCAGTCCATGTGGCAAGTTGACATCATCTGAAAAGAAATGGAGGACTAGATGTATGTAGGAGGGAGGAATGAGAAAAAGAAGACCATAGGCCATATGACCTGCCAATTGAAGAACATTTATTTTACCAAAGAGAAATCCACAGGTGTAGTCCACATCACTCAACACTTCACCAAGCTGTTCTTTCTGTCGTTTGGAAAGCTTTTTCTTGCTGAAGACAAGCCTCCACTTCTCACATTCTGTGCACTGGACCATTGTGTCAGCATTGCGAACATGCTGGACTGATGGCGAAAATGGAATTTTCTGCTTCTCCGCCCTTGGTCGGGCGCGTTTGCTTGGCCTTTCCTGAAAAGTACAAGGAATGAATGGTATTGGTATAGACTTGCAGTGAGAACCAACTTTGAAACTTGACCATATATTTTTTAATGAAATTGTTGAACATGATCTGATGATCTGTAAGTGCTATGCCATATGATGCTTTAAAACCTACATCATGAGTTTCGACCTATCTGTAGTGACCGTCTCCAGCTGGTACAGGAAGGGTAGACCATCTACGTCTCTACACCGATCATCCTGGATTGGTCTGAAGCATGAATAGCAAAATAAAGGTTCAAGTAGCAAAGGCTATCCTAGCTACGAGAGTGCATATGACATGTATGAAGAGTAGGAAGCTGCTGTACGTACAAGGAATGCATACAAGGAATGCAGACATGGTAGACATAGACTGAGTAGTGTATACAGAATAAAAAAACACCTACCACCAAAGGCTACCCACTGGTCCTACACCACAACCATACTAGGACAAAACAAAAAGCAAAGCAAGTACCGTACTCATGGTACTGACATACACCATGTACACTGTACTATACCTGAACAAGCGGTTTATTCCTGAAACATCATGAAGAGTAACATGGTAAATTATGAGTACTGGTACTTTAAATGGACTGTACATCCAAAATAGGGTACCAATTGGATTACACCTTTTGGTAGAAAAGGACCAACTCGCCTACAGATAGTACACTCAGCCTTTCCGCATTTCTTTATTTGGAAAATGTAGTGTCCTTGAATACAACAATGTTCTAGGAAAGCGGAGAGCTTATCGAGTTCCTTGGTGTCTTTCTGGGTTAGTTTGTGCCGCTGGAAAGAAAATGAATCGAACAAAATATGGGCTGAAGGGTATCAAATCAGAATGAGATTTTTTGTGATGGGTGTGTGTTGGTATACCATGAATTTAATTGAATTGCCTACCTGTAGTCTTTCTTCTACCTGAAGACAATTCTGCCAGAGCGCATCTATATCTGCCTCTTCTGCTGGCAGAAACTTCTGGAAGGGTCTGTCCTTGAGGCTTAATCTCTGCATCTGACTCTGGAGAAGGTCTATGGGGAACTGCAGGGATTCTTTCAGCTCATTCTTGCGGTCATCCGTTGGTAACTTGTCTCATGTCCTTTACACTATTGGCATTTGCTAAAGACATGAAAGAAATCAAGACATTAGAAAATGAAAATGTGCTCAGAGTACATAGTGACAACAGCCATTGTCTAGGTCAGCTCACCTATAGCTTTCTCAAATCCGTCACTCATTTTGCGCCTCATCAGTCCCACTCCTTGCAATCCTATGTTCACAATACTCATCATCCGTTCAACCGAGTTCGCCCAAGAGTTACTTGGGGCTGTGCGTAGGGCCACCAATACGTCTACGTCCAGAGAGAGGAATAGGGCAATCATGGACAACTTAACCGACATGTACGTGCAGCGGTGATCTGGCCCTCCATCGGTATATATCAGCAGTATGGGTGGAACATCTGAAAAATACAGGAAAGTGGAAAATACATGTATGACTATACTTTTAGTCAAGCTGCTGTTTTCAGGCACAGTGGTGAAGTGTATCCATGGTATTCAAGGCTTTTGAATAGTACCTCCATTTCCACGTGTCTAGATGATCTTTCCCAATTCCGTGGCATGCCGAAGAGCAGACGATGGTTCAAGTATATAATCTTTGAATCCTACGTATACGTCTCCTCTGTAGAAACTTCTTCCAAGGATGCTCGCTGGAATCTCAATCTGTGAAACAGAGAAAGAAGAACACGCAACATTATTCATTGACAAATAGGGCCTATCTGATTGATAGTGATATCAACCCATCACATACTTACGAACAAGTTGACAGAAGGTGTCAGTGTCGCTTTGCTGAAGTCATGGTCCCCAACAGCCATCACCTGATTGGCACCAACAATGACTTGTTTTCCCCGTTCGGCTGCTGCAAGAGGGTAGTTTGGCTCCCCCACCTTGCACTTGTGCTTGTCATCCATTGAAACAAGAGTAACCAAATCTTTGTTCAGTACGGCATATTCCCTCATATACCTCCAGGAGGCTGCACAGTAGTGAGCGTCAACGTGGTTTACTCGGACCTGTAAAGAGATAATGACCATTAGAGACATGAGTGTCAAGTTCAGTTCAGGAAAAAAACTTTGGAGTAGAGTATACTTGCTGGGGAAAATAGGGGAAATCGGTACTACTATTTGTTTTACCTGTCGTTTCTGGACCATCATCTTAATGTTTAGGGCTCCCTTGAAATACTTGGCAGTATTAGCCCTCGGATTCACATGTTGAAATTGATACCTCATCCACTTGACAGATGGTATGGCTGTATCGGCAGGGACTCTCTCTTTGACTGTATGGTGCAGGTCCTTGAAACTCACAGCCTTTGCCAGGTAAAGCTGCTCTCCATGTCGCCGCTCATGGCAAGCAACTCCGACGTCTTCTGCAAGGTACCGCTCCGTCTCTGCGAAGAAGGCATGGAATCGGTCATCTTTCTTTGTCTGGTGTAGATGGCGCAGATCTACTAGTATCCCAGCATCTTCACTTAGCATGGCATGCTGAAATCGTTTATCAATTTCACTTTCTTTCAAATGAAGAGGTGCTGCTAGGTCTCTGGTCAGATCTTTGAACACTGCTCGGAGAGCCACAGAACTAGCCACAGAGCCGAAAGCAAGCTTGAACTCTCTCTTTGTGATTCGTCGTTCATAGGTGGGTGCTTTCGTCTCGATTGAACGTATCACCCATGTACATTGGTTCATCTGTTCGCCTTCCGAATCGGTGTCCTGCATCTTCCAAACAAAGTGGAGGCTTGGCTTATTGCCCCCGATATGGTGCACGTAATGCACACATTTGGCTTTCAAACCAGTACGTGAGAGTTCCTCCATACAGTCGTATATTCGCCGTCTGTCAGAAATTGGTGGCAGAAACTCCCTCACGGAAATCGGAGAATACGGTTCTTCTTCGGCAAGCTGTTTGTCCAAGTTCTTCAGGAAATGGTGAACAGGACCCGTGTTTCGCTTGATGATGGTTACATTCGTAGAGAGTTCAAGTTGGCTACGTGGAGTGTCGTGTAATACCTTTGTTCGCATGTTATGAGATCTGAGTTGGAGACAGTATTTTTCAACTACTGTCACAAGGTCTAAAATCTGTAATTTCACTTCTGCCCAGGGCATTTTATCCATGTAAGGAAGAGCCTGCATTGCTTCACGTACCAGGATGGTGTGGCTTGTCATCTTCTTTTCGGATAGGTTACTTAGATTTCTCTTTTTATGCTTGGCCAGCTCTGGGCGGTTAAATCCAGACAAGGTTGTCTTGAAAACCTGTGGGGTTCTTTGCTCAATCAAAATTTCGGATTCTATTTTCTTGTACTGTCCATCCAGATAAAACAGCATGTCTGTGAGCCGTGTCACAAATGATACTGCTGCATTTCCACAATTGGTAGGGAATGTGGCAGCCTTTGAATGAAAGTAGTCAAAAATTGCATTTCTTAGTTTGTCAATGTTGGATTTTGGGTCTTGGCATGGTTTCGGAATATCTGCCACATTGACATTTCGTCCAGCATTCATCATGATGCCAAATGCATTGGGCGGGGCACTTGTGTTCAGGGTGTTCATGTTGCATGTGCATGTTGGTAAATGCTCAACAGATATCGTGATGAAGCGCATGTTGAAGCCATTTATAATATCCATTATGTCTGTCGAACTACCTCCAACCACATTCTCTGCCAGTGCCAGGGTGAAACTTGCCTTTGCCTCAATGAAATTATAGTGAGCGCAAAGCCTCCTCCCCAGCACTGGCACATTGAATCTACGAACACCATCTTTGATATCCGACCAAAGCTGGCCATATAGGTATGTTGCCTGATCGAACGTCAAAAATGTCCAGCCGACAATAATTTGTCCACCTGGTTCAGCTATCCGGACAGCCGCTTGCTTGCTGCATGCCATGAGGATGAATCAACACTGAAAATAAAAAATAGATTCTTAAATCATTATCATACAGTATGAGCAAAATTATCCTGAATTAATATCTAGGCGCAGCCAGGCCTGCTAGGCCTAGGCCTAGCATAGGGCAGATCACCGTTCATTCACCCTAGGCAGCACCCCTTCATTCTCCCTAGGTCCATCAGGTAATTCCCACAAAGTATTATTTCCAAATCCCATCAAAAACCAGAAAGTCAAAAACCATGTGTTTGTAAAATTCAAATTCCGCGCCAAGCATCCAGCAACAAGACGCATGCTGGGAAATCGCTTCGCGCCAGAAAATATATCACGTGACCGACGTAATGAAAGCAGCATGCAGACAACGCCATCGAATCCATTCTACAATCGTGTCAGATAGACACCGTAATCAAACCATCGGTTCATATTTTATTATCTGTGGCCTTCATCAAATCGATCTTTATGTATTCGGTCGAATATTTTCTTCAAACTCATCATTTTAATGCTATATTCATTGAGAAATACTTACGGCATTCAGCATTGCAAATTTATTGACAAATTAGAGCATTTATAATTTACTAGCTGGAACCCGCGCGTTGCGCAGGCTTAGTGACTGTGATGCATGTGTTACCAGTACAGTAGTGTTATGTGTAAGGTGTTATATGGAGAGTTTAGTTGTTGCACATGTTGGTTTTTTTATGGTTGAGATGTCAATAGAAATATATGTACAATCATGCTTACACGTAACACATTAACCATTTGTTTGGCAAGTACACCGTGAAATACACACACCCACATACAATGTTTTATTGTATGCTATGTACTGGTTGATGATACGGACTCCAAAGTTAGAATATAGATAGATGTGAATGGGCTGGTAGGTCGGGCGACTGATTAACCACTTGGCTGCGTAGCACGTAATATTACGCGCTTCGCATGTTTCCACTGTGTGCGGACCAGGTAATATTGCGTGGTTGTGATCGCTTATTTCTACGCATGTTTGCACTCTGTGCGGACGACGTAATATTACGTGCTTGTGATCGGACCGCTTGTGACGCTCATAGCGTCTATGTCCCCCAGGGTAC